CCATGGGCAGCGCATCTCAGCGGCCCGCCCCACCCCGCCCAGTCGCCCCCCTTCTCGAGTATCCACGACAGGCCCAGCAGGTACTTGGGCAGATTGGCCGGCGACACATCTGCCGCATTCTCCATGCGCACGACGTCCGTGAGGCCTCGCGTGCTGATGAAGGTCTCGATCCGGTTGGTCAGGAAGTTGGTGTTGACGATCGCGCGGAAGGCTCTGCACACGAGCCGGACGCGGCACATGTCGGTGCCGAAGGGCATGTAGTTGGCTACGTTGCTGATGCAGTCGTGTGGCAGGTCGCCGAGGGACCGCATGGAGGTGAAGCCCGTGAAGGGTGGAGGTGGTGTGGACTCCTTGTACCAGAACCCAGAACTCACCTAATGAGACCAGCACACACGCAATATGGATGCCAAATGGACCAAACGTGCCTCCCCCCTGTTTGCCTACGGCGTATGGCGGGAGGTTCGTGAACGGCGTGTAGACGTTGGGCACATCCACGACGAACACCTCGGTGCTGCCGATGGCCCTCATGTACACGCGGGTCTTGCCGGCGCCCGCCGCTGCCGCGGCGTACACGGCCGCCTCCACCCAGTCGTATCTATCGTTGACCTTGGCGTTGGGGTGATGGGGCTGGGATGTTCGTGCATGGGGAGCCTCTCATTTTCTGAGGGTGCCCCCCTGTGAGTAGGCGTGTGGGGATAGTGTGTGTCGATTGGCCTGGTTGCCTGTCAGTCTGGTTGATTGTCTGTCTGTCTATCTGTCTGTCAGTCCGCATGTCTGTCCACTGCATTCGCGTGTGCTGCTCATGAGCATTGTTTGTCCATTTGAGTGTCTGTAGCTCGTTATCATTGCATTGCGATCGACTGTTCATGTTTGTCCGTGCCGTGGACCAACGCGTGTGTGGCCCCCGGCGCATCGTCACACATCAGTCATCACCTTGACGTCGGACACCATCAGCACTCTAACGCCCTCCTTGTACCGACACGCACGCAACGCCTGATAGATGGGCGGGATGATACAGAGAGCAACAAAGAAGGAATGCACGAAGGCAGGCGAAATCTGTGCTGTGGAGTGCTCTGCTCTCTCATCCGTCGCCCCCCACCTGCCCATGACGAGAAGAAGACGGCCGCATCATCGCACCGGCTCAAAAGGAGAGGTGGTCAATGCGGCAATGCCATCAGCTAACAGCGGAAAGGCTGAATCAAGGCTGCTGTGCCTGGACCACACACTCACCACAGACTGATGAATAGATCTGATTTGTTTTTGCTTGCTGTATCTCCCTTTTGCCTGCACCTGCTGCCCTCAAGCTCCTACAGGCGGCGAACTCGAGAAATCGCACTTGCGAGCTTGAAAGATGGGCTTGCATTTGTGCCTTGCCTTTGTACAGCTCATTGGCACTGACTGCTGGAGCGAGAGTGCCCTGGTGAAGCCGCTGTGTCGGCCTTGACCACCATTTCGCCTTCACCGTGGCAGCCTCTGAGCTGAGAGGGCATTGGTCGCCATACCCATAGAAAGTAAGCCGCAGATGACCGATGACGTGATGGTCGTTGAAAGTGACGCGTTCATCCCATTCTCCCTTCCTTACAGCCGTGTTTGAGTCGAGCGGCAGCATCGGCAGCAGCAGCATCATCCTCTACCGCTCGGCCGCAGGCAGAGGTGGGTCAGTGCACGTGCGCAGAACACACACCATCATCATGTGCAATCGCATCCATGATTCATTCATTCATTATTCTATTTGGTTGTTTGTTTGTTTATTTGTCCGTCTGTTTGTTTGTTTGTCTGTCTGTTTGTTTCATCAGGTGGCTTCACACTCTGCGTGTAGTCGTTACCAGGAGGGCACGCGTGTGCTGCTGACGTCCAAGACGAGAAGGGGTGCCAATGACAGCTATGTCTGGCTCAGGGCCGATGTGCACCGCACGGAGGAGACCAGCAGAGGGACAGCGGTCTACATGAGGGAGGTGGGCGGGCGCGGCGAGGAGTTCAGAGTGGTGGTGCCGCACCACGAGACCGTGGCGGCTACAGACACAAATGCGTCGACACCCGTGGTAGGCAAACACACCCCAACGCGAAGCTCCGTCGACCCGCCGGATGGATGTTTGTGTATGGTGCTTGTGTGTAAATGCGATGTGTGAGCAGCTTTGGGATGATAGCAAGACGGTACAGAGAACCACGCACAGCCACACACAACACACAAATAACGCCTTCCATTCTCAAGCGGATTCCTTTCCCGCTGTCTTGTCTTTGGGTCTCAGGTTGCGGGTTTTGGCGAAGACCTCCTGGCGTCGGTCTTCAGCTTCCTGACCCCTCCCGAGCTGTTTGGCATATTGCCACCCCATCGGAGCGCCCACCCATCCCTCTCATCCATGCCATCGTCTTCCGCCCTGCCGTCGACCACTGGCGGTGGGCTGTGGTCGAGGCCCATCAACGGCGAGACCACGATGGCTTCATCTGGCGGCGCCGTTCCTCTGCGTAGCACACTCGCGCCTGCCAAAGCACCAGCCACAGCAGGGCCGAGAACCACGCCCACGAATCCGTTCTCGGTCGCCGAGGCACTCACAGGGCCAGGGGGTGGTCATCTGTTTGGGGTTGGAGCAGCATCGGGTGGTGACTCGATGGGCGGCGCTTCCAGCGGCACCGACAGACGGAGTCTCTTTGGCCAGGGCGGCGGGGCCTTCATGCAGCACCCGTCCGGTGGTGCCACACACAGCAGCCCCTCCCCCATCCACACGGCAGCCCTTGGGCATCTGTCGGCTTCCCTCCCGCGCCACCCCACCATCCGCCACGCAGCCCCAGTGTACCTCTTCGGCGGCAACAACCGGACACAGGGGCGCAGCCTCTTCACGGCTGCCAAGGGATCCACGGGGGGAGGAGGTGCGGCGGGCAGACCATTCAGCGGCGCTGGCAGAGGGAATCCGTTTGGCCAGAGTGGGGCTGCCACGGAGAACGGAGAGGGGGGGATGTTCTGCAGCATGGGTGAGTGGCGTGAGGGGGCAACACCCGTGGATGCATGGATCGCTGGCTCCATCTGTGTGTGCATCGATCAGGTGTGGCGGCGGTGTCTGTCTTCAGCAGAGCGTCAGGCTCAACTCGGGGCAGCATGTTTGGCGGTGCGGCCTTCCGGCCGCAACCGTCAGGCGGTGCCATACAGAGCATGCCCTCCCACTGCAAAGCCACAGCGCCCCGCTTCTCTGGCATCGCACCGCCCCTCCCTCCTCCAGCTGGCCACTGTGTAGACGTCGGTGAGGAAGAGGAGGAGGACAATCTGCCACTCCCCGCCCCATACGCCCCGCCACACACAACCACCCCAGCACCAGCCACAGCACGGCCGAGAACCACGACCACGAACCCGTTCTCGGTCGCCGAGGCGCTCACAGGCCGAGGTGGTGGTCATCTGTTTGGGGTTGGAGCAGCATCGGGTGGCCAGGGCGGTGGTGCCGCACACAGCGGCCCCTCCCTCAACCACGCCAGTCTCCGTCACGCAGCCCTCTACCAGTACACCCACGTCGCCATCGACAGCTCCACCGCTGCACACCGCCAGTTCTGGGAGAGCATGAGGCCTGGGGAGGCCTTCCAGCTCGGCAAATGGCTCGTCAACCTGACGGCACTCACCCTCGTGCAGCCACGCGTCGAGCCGTCTTGGTGTCTCGACAAGCTGTTCGGAGTGGTTGAGGGCCACGCTGAGGGGCGACGCGAGGCGCATGAGAAGGATGCGCACCACGGGGTGGACGAGGGCTCGCTGGAGGTCATCGAATTCACAACCAGCACCAGCAGCATCGATGACGAGCTTCCCTCCCCCATTCCCTCCGACGGTGGCCATCAAAAGGATTGGCAGAAGGCGGGCGACTGGCCACGACGACGGAGGGTTGCACGGGAGCACTTTGAGGCGGACGACCGTGAGCTGGAGCGAAAGCCTCTGTCCCTCTGTCCTCTCCCCGCCCAGCCCCCCAGCCTCCGTGCCCTCAAGACCGTCACAGGAGCTGTCGCCCAGCACAGTGTGATGGCGAGAGGGGGTGGTCGATGCCCGGACTCGCCATCATGGACCAGGACGGGTGGGCTGCCGACAAGCTGGGCCGCTTCATCAGCTCGTCCAGGTCGCTGCAGCACGTCGGCGGGAGTATGTCGGGTGGTCGGTGGGCGGTGGTGGTTGAGCACTTCCCCAAGGCGGCTGTTGGGCAGCGGGGGCCACTCAGCCAGCTGCGGAGCATAGGTCGTGTTGTGCGTCGCATTAGGGGCGGCTGGCTCGGGGAGAGCGTCCAGCAGTATAAGGAAGGAGTGGAGCGACTGCAGGTGACCACACACACACACACACACTCACACACACAGCATACAAAACACACAAAAGGGGCCTCATGAATGCACCTGCTAATCATCCCCTTCTGTTTGTTCTCAGGAAGCGCTCGTTTCACGTGGCTGCCGCAAGTCGCTCGAGAGCCTCGACGTGTAGATCCCGCCGATTAGCGACTGTAGCAGCTTTGCTGCCGTGGAGTCAGTGGACCGCCTCATCAACGAGTGCTGCGTGTCACCCGACATCCCCATCAGTGTGAGCAGTCCCAGAAGTCCGAGAAACCATTTCTCGCCGTCCATCTTCTACGCCGACTACTTCGACCATTCCCCAGCCCGCGCATCGCCCTTCATCAAGAGGGTCATCCTGCAGGAGGCATCAAGATACTTCCAGTGTGACATCCCTGCCCTCACTCACCGCCCCGTCGACAGCCCCAGCCAGTCCGCCATCGAGATCGCACAGAGCCTCGACTTCACCGATGTGGGGCAGGTTGAGATCCGGGGTGCACACGATCCCCCTCCTGGCACTCCTGCCCCCACCCCTGCCATCATCGAGCACCTACCCTCATTCCCCGATGTCGGATATCTGTCTGTTCGGGGCGCTCTCGTCGGGCCGGCGGGCCGTCTGCTCGCCGCAAAGATGCCCATCGCGCTGACCAGAGTGCTGTTCGACTATACTGTGGATACGGAGGACAGGAGGAGCGTGCTGGAGGGGCTGGGGAGGGGGAGGCACGTACACTCCGTGTCTTTTGACGGACCGTTGGATGACTGGGCATCGCCGGACTTTCCATCCATCGGAAACCTGAGTGTCTGCTGGATCGGTGCGCCAGTCAGTACTGGGACACTTCCCCTGTGCTGTGGGTGCACTCCTGCCGTCTGCATGTGTGTGTGTGATCACTCAGTGCCCGACGATTTCCCTAGCCTCGCCGCTACTCAGATCATACACAACGGCGTGACATCCCTGGTCAACAACGCCCGCGGCCTGATCTGCTTTCATGTGACCGCCTCGCCAATCCCAGCGCTGGTTGGGTACGATGCCCCTGATCGGCTGCTCCCCGAGCGGCTCGGCGGGTTCACCATTGTCGTCAAGCCGTCGCCGGTTGTCGGGGGGTGGAGAATCGAGGTGGAGGGAAGGCGTCACGCGTAGAGGGGTGAGAGGACAGGCAGTGGCCAGGCAATTCATCGGTGTCATGGTACTGTGTGGTGTGTGGTGTTCTGTCAGGCTGTTTGTCCGTCCGTCGAGAGGCCGCACACGGCGAGACAGTACGACTGACACTGACTGACGCACTCGTGACTGTGGCCTTGCTCAAGCGTTGTAGAATGCACACACATCCACACAAGATGCAGAATGCACCCAGGGTGGTCTGATGGACTCGTGGCCGAGTGTCAGGCGCTGTCCTGGTGCATCATTGGACGCTTGCATGGGTCTGTGCGGACTCGTTTGTGATGGATGCGATGGATGGTGGACCGCCCAAGTCTGTCTGTGTGTGTGTGTGTGTGTGTGTGCATAGATATCTGTCGAGAAGCCGTACACGACGAGACAGCCAGACTGATAATGAGCCTGATCTGATGATGATGATGTTGATGATGACATGATGGTGGCCGAATGGCGTATGTGAAGCGGGAAGGGCGAAGCGTGGTGTGGGTGTGATGTTGGTGTGGGTGTGTTTTCTCTACTTCTTCTTGCCGCCGCCGGGGAGGGGGAAACCCTCCTTCGTCTCCCGGCGAATGCAACAAGAAGTAGAGGACACACACCACACACCACACCCCACCCTACACCGACATAGCAGCAGACATACACACTGACTGACCGGGGAGGGCGGCAATGAGAAGGCAGGATTGGATTGAATCCACTGGGGGAGTAGGGGCACATGCCCGATGGTAGCCAACACACACACGCAGACTGACTGACGTGACTGCGCATGTGGCGTGCGGAGAGGCGCCTGCCTTCCTGCCTGAATGGATGGATGGCTGTCCGTGTGTGTGTGTTGACGTGTTGACGTGTTGACTGAACGGACCGTTCCGTTCCGTTCCGTTTACTTCGCGAATTCGCCTTCCTTGCAAACTTAGCTGGGCCACCACGGCCGCTGTGGCGGGACATAGAGGGAAATCGGATCGTCGCCTGCATTTACGGATTCCTGCATTTACATACCAGCCCTTGGGGTTCCGAGCGGCGTGATTCCCATGATCACGATCGAAGAGTTTGCAGTCAATCAACCGGCAATGAATATATAGACGGACACACACCGGCGACAAACAGACTTTCCGCCCCTTCCTCTCACAGACATGGCTGCCGTGCAGACACACACATGTGCATACACGCAGCGAGCAACACACGTGGTCATCTCCTCTTCCCACCCCTCCCCCCGATATGCACACGTCACCCCCCCTCCCCCTCGTTCACTCGGTCAGCTACCATATGCGGCAACGGCATCGGGTACGTCAGCTATGGCTACGGCTAACAGGGGCGGAGAGGCTGCACAAAGGGCCCCGAGATCGAGCGGTCCAATCTGCAGGAAAGGGCAAAGGACCAAACGGACATGAGAACCACCACCCCATCTATCATACCCCCCACCCACCCACCTAGGTGGGGAAGCCGCCAGCCTACACGGCCAGTAGGTAGGTCACGCCGTGTGTCCCGTAGCCGAAGATCGTCCGGAGCGTCTCGAGCCCCACGACGTCATCCCTGCAGATGAATCGGGTGGTCCTCGAGTACTTCTTGCCAGCTTTCTGGCCATCTGGAGCGGCGTGTCGCTCGCTGGTGCGGATCATGATGTTGGCGGTCTCGGCATCACCGGTGCCGCTCTTCTGCACTATCATCACGACGCCGAAGGGGTCACCTGCCGCGACGCCGCTGAGGAATCAGATTGTCGTGCTGATGCCGATGGTGCCGTGGGTGTTGGTGATGTGCACGTCCTTGGCCACCCGCTGGAACGTCGATGGTGTCTCGAGGAGGTGGGTCATGTGCGCCCAGGCTGCGGGGTTCTGCGTATGGCGGCGGCCATGTGTCCGCCGGGAGATGCTGACCTCGAGCACCAGCTTCCACTGGTTCTGGTGGAACTCGAAGCCGAGCCGCTCCT